ATATATATATATATATAACTAATAAATAAAAAACATGGCTTTACACAACAATAGATCTCATTTCAACGTTGCAAACCAAGCGAAACCTTTTCTTTACTCTCTTATCATTTTATCTCTTACCCTTGAACTTCTATATTCTCTTGTACCGAGACATTTCACTTTTACGGGAGCTAGCTAGTTATCTTATTCTTGAATTTTATTTTTTTTTTCATTTCTTAGTCTATTTGTCTTCTATTGTGGGCATGAATCTTAAAATTTTGGGCTCTTAATTTTCTTTGGATGCTATAGTTTTTTTTTCATCAATGGTACAACTTTTATAAGTTGTTTTGCTTTTTGGAAAATAATAAAATAATGATGTTCACTTCATGAAATAGTTAAAAAAAAATTATTTTTTGTGAAAGGTTAAGAGGATGACACATGTAAAAAAAAAAACTTTTAAAGCATCATTAGTTGATTTTGTTATTGCCACGGTAAAGTATTTGGGAGAATGGAAAGTGTCATTTGATTTGGATAAAAATATAATTCATTGCTCTTGTTGTAAATTTGAGACATTTGGCATACTTTGTTGTCATTGTCTAAGAGTCTTTATTCATATGGATGTTAAATCAGTGCCTGAGCAATATATCCTGAAGAGGTGGACAAAGTTAGCAAGAAGTGTGTCTTTACCTAATGTTAGTGTTCGTCATGTAGTAGAAGATGCTCAATTGACTTCAACACAACGTCATAGAGACATTTTTCCCCGTCTTATGAGGATAGTTGATGAAGCATGTAGGAGTCAAGAAACATACACGTTGTTGAGCAAAAAGTTACTGATTTATTGGACAAGGAAATGTTAGAGTTTCAAAATAAACAAGTAAGTAATACTCAAGTTAATGAGTTCCTTAGCAATGTTATAGAGATTGCAAGAAACAATGATGATTCAATACAAGTAAAAGGGTTCAAGAAAAAAGAAGGTAGAAAAGGTTCAAAGCGTTTGAAAGGATCGGTAGAACGCCAACTTAGTAAACGGAAGAAAAAGGGTGACTCAAGTGCTTCACAAGATCAAGAGCTTACTAAGGTATTATAAAATTATGAATTTTACCATGCATTAGCTTACTCAAATACATAAACTCTCCTTTTTTGTATGCAAAATAATGAGAGTAAACAAGGTTCAAAATTTGTGAAGGAGAGGATAGAGTACAATTTAGAAGTGCCTAATATAAGTGCATCCACATGGCTTAATGATGTATACAAACAACAACAATCTATGGTAAGCTAATAGAAATTTAACTATGAGCAAACGAAAAAAATATTTGATGATTAATTGATATTGTCTTTTGTGTAGGAAATCAATGGCATTTCAAGTCAAGTTAGTGTTACTAGTTTTACTAGTTTATTGATGGTAAGTTTCAATAATTTAGATGGGATATCACAAACATTTTAACAACTTGCAGATTTTACTGGTTTCATATATATATATTTAAAATATTAACTTGTGTCTTTTAAATTATAGGCACCACTTTATGGGGATATCACAACTTTGACCAATCCATAGAGATGTAAATTAAAAGTTACAACAACTAGCTACTTGCAATGCTTTTTGACCATTTTGTGATGATATTCAAAGCTATTCGCAATTCTATTTTGTCCCTAATTATGCAGTTCAATTTATGCATTTTTGTTATTGCACACTTTCTGTAATTTTGTTATTGCACACTCTTTGCAATTATGATCTGTCACTTATTATGCAATTCTATTTACAAATCAGATTAGACAACAACCATTAACAAGTAATTTGTAGTTGTACACAAAACAAATGCAATCGGCAACCAATTCAGCTTAAAATTGTTACATAAAAGGAATTGAATTTCAAATAAATTGGAGCAGTGCAATATCATTTTTAATTGAAACTAATGTCTATTACAACATTGCAATTACATTTTTCATCCTCTTTGAACTACAAAGACTCAATGCAAAATCAAAGAACTTGGGAATTTCCTAATAATTGCCATAGGTGCTAATGGTTTGTGCTAGCTTTGCCTAAACTAAATCAAGGGATAGAAAACATGCGAGGATCATCATCATTGACCGAAAAGCTTTGGCCCAAGTTTAGCAAAGATCAACATTCCACTAGCAGTGTTCTCAGGATTTAACCACCATCGAAGAGCAGTGATTTTTGGGGCTGCACTATTATATGATGAAACAACAGAGTCATATAAGTGGCTTTTTGAAACATTTCTGGAGGCACACAAACAAAAAAGACCCCAAACAATTTTTACTGATCAAGACCAGGCAATGGCAAAAGCACTAGTTGAGGTTATTCCTGAAACTTACCATGGCTTATGTACATGGCACTTGATGCAGAATGGCATCAAGCACTTAGGCAATTTAATGAAGGGGGAATCACATTTTCTTAGTGACTTTAAGAAATGCATGTATGGCTATGATGATGAAGAACAATTTGAGGAAGGTTGGAGAAACCTCCTTGAAAAGTTTGATGTTAAGGAAAACACTTGGTTGCAAAGAGTGTATTCTGTGAGGGAAAAATGGGCATCTTGTTACCTGAAGAAGGCTTTCACATTGGGAATGCGAAGCACCCAACTTAGTGAAAGTGTGAATGCTGATATTAAAAGTTTTATCAATGTGAATTTGGATCTTATCAAGTTTTTTAATCGTTTTGAGGATGTTGTAGAAGAAAAACGGTATAATGAATTGAAGTGTGAATATGAAGCACGTCAAAAAATTCCAAGACTCAAGAACCCATATTCTGATATCTTGAAACAAGTGTCTGAGCTTTATACTCCTACTATTTTTGAGTTATTCCAACATGAGTATGAGTTGTTTGAAGCATGTTCTGTTAAGAGCATAAATGTAAAAGCATCATTAGTTGATTGTGTTATTGTCATGGTAAAGGATTTGGGAGAATGGAAAGTGTCATTTGATTTGGATAAAAAGATAATTCATTGCTCTTGTTGTAAATTTGAGACATTTGGCATACTTTGTTGTCATTGTCTAAGAGTCTTTATTCATATGGATGTTAAATCAGTGCCTGAGCAATATATCCTGAAGAGGTGGACAAAGTTAGCAAGAAGTGTGTCTTTACCTAATGTTAGTGTTCGTCATGTAGTAGAAGATTCTCAATTGACTTCAACACAACGTCGTAGAGACATTTGTCCCCGTCCTATGAGGGTAGTTGATGAAGCAAGTAGGAGTCAAGAAACATACACGTTGTTGAGCAAAAATTTACTAATTTATTGGACAAGGAAATGTTAGAGTTTCAAAATAAACAAGTAAGTAATACTCAAGTTAATGAGTTCCTTAGCAATGTTATAAAGATTGCAAGAAACAATGATGGTTCAACACAAGTAAAGGGGTTCAAGAAAAAAGAAGGTAGAAAAGGTTGAAAGCATTTGAAAGGTTGGGTAGAACGCCAACTTAGTAAACGGAAGAAAAAGGGTGACTCAAGTGCTTCACAAGATCAAGAGCTTACTAAGGTATATTGAAGTTCAGAAACTTCAATACGGCCGTATTGAGTTCAGTGCGGCCGTATTGTAGTTCAAAATGTGCAGTACGGCCGTACTGAACTCCAAGGAGGCCGTATTGAGCTCCAAACCTCCCACTTTCTTATTTTTGGCTACTCTAAGACCTCTAAACCTACAGATAGTCATCATATGGTCTTCTGGGAGTCCTTCTGGCTGACTTTCCTTCGATCTTTGAGAGTCTTCGAGTCTTATTTCCGACCCGGACAATTTTAGGGGTCTACAGTGATGTCAACCTGGGCTATGTGAGCTACTGTAGGGGGGTCAATTCGGCGGTGCTTCTCTGATGGCGAAACCTTCAGTCTTTCGGCATAGCATTGTCGAACTATTTTCTGGTTTGCCCTAACTGAGATGATCTTGCCGTTGCTCCCTAGGAATTTCATCGTCAGCTGCGGGGTAGATACCACAGCTCCAAGTTGGTTCAACGTCGCCCTGCCGATGATGATGTTATATGACGTGTTGGCCTCAACGAGGAGGTATCTGACCATGATCCTCCTTGAGTCAAGAAGGGTCACGAAGGTTGTCAACAAGTCTATGTATCCCCGAGTGTGGACTCGTTCTCCTACAAAACCGACTAGGGGTTCTGTGTGAGGTTGAATGAGGGAATGGGAGATATCTAACCTTAGGAATGTCGGCCAGTATAGGACGTCAGCCAAGCTTCCCTAGTCGATCAACATCTTGTGGACCTCCCAGTTAGCTACTTCCACCGCGATGACCATGGAGTCGTCGTGGTTTGGACAAATGCGAATGTAGTCATCATCCGTGACGGTGATGGGTGGTGTGTTGCGGTGCGGGGCCGAGGTGTCAGTGTGGACATTGTTGATGCTCCATAAGTGTCTTTTACGTGTCGAGCTATTGGAGCCTCCCCCTGGGAAGCCACCTACAATTGTATTGATGACTCCATGCAAGGGAGTCGTTCCTATATCATGACTTACCTCGACTTGCGCTGCTCCACCTACATTTTGCTGAGTGCCAGAGCCTCGTCCTCGTCCTCGTCCTCATCCATGGTAGCCTCCTCTATGAGATTGTTGTCGTTGGACGTATTGTCCGAGGTGCCCTCCTTGGACGAGTTCCTCGATGCGGTCCCTGAGTGTGTGGCATTCCTCGGTTGTGTGGCCATAGTTTCTATGATACCAACAATTCTTGGATTTTTCCGTGCTACCGGGGTTGTGCCCACGCGGTGGCAGAGTAATCAGGTTGGTATTGCTAGCCTCCTTTAGTATATGTACTCGGGGTGCGTTCAAGGGGGTGTAGAAGCCATACCTCCCTCCTCTGTTCGGCCTAGCCTTCTTGAATTGGCTGTTATTGGTGACTTTTACCTTATCTTTGTGGCCATGGTCTTGCTTCCCCTGTGGTTTCCCACGAACTTGGTCGAAAAAAGCAGTGTGCTCTTCCATCTAAATGTACCCCGCAACTCAAGCACGGAGTTCGTCCATGGCCGAGGGAGGTCGCCGATACAGGCTGTCAACGAAAGGTCCTGGCTTGAGCGCCATGAGCATAGCGTGTAAGGAGACCTCGGGGTTTAGGTTACGGATTTTGACGGAGATGCTGGCAAAGCGCTCCATGAACGTCCTCAGTTGTTCGTCGTCGCCTTGTATGAGGCTGGCCAAGGCGGCGGACATGATGTGATGCGGTTGACTTGTTACGTAATGCGCCGTGAATCGTCTCACCAGAGTGTCGAAGCTATCGACTGATCATGCTGGAAATTGAGTATACCACGCGAGTGCTGATCCCTTGAGCGAGGTCAGAAAAACCTTACACAGGATAGCATCATTGTTAGTGTATAGGTTTACCTGCGTGATGTACAGATCAACGTGCTCATCTGGGTCGGTAGTGTCATCATAGTGATCGATGTTGAGAGGCTTCCATCCAAAAGAAAGAGGCGTCTCTATGATGCCGTCAAAAAAAGGGTGACGGCGGATGCTCGCCCTATGTCCTGGAGCCTGGGCTGGTGCATTGCTGACTTCATGGTCTGATCTGTACGTCGGTACATGTGACCGATGTGCAGTAGACCTATGGGTCGCTGCCCTGGGTGCAGTCGGTGGCTGGGAAACTGAGTGCCCTTCTTCCTCATTTTGATTGCTTGGTTGAGGGGGCTGATCAGAGGGGCGCTGAGGAAGCTAGGTGCGGATGCGCTCGTTCTCAACTCGTAGCGCCGCTAGGTCAGCTTCATGTCGGGCGCGGGTGTTCTCCAGGTCGGCGACGTGTTGTCGTCGTATTTGATCGACCTGCTCGATCATCCGTCTCAATGTTGCTTCTCCTTTCATTCTTGCTACGTGATCTTGTTCGTCTGTTGCTCATCTACTATGGCTTCGGGTGCGAACCATAAGCGTGGCCGATAAGAGATGTCTTGGTCGGCCCCACGGTGGGCACCAAATGTTCTTACCGGAGATCGATCATGAAGGACGATCTGTTGGGAAAGATTGGTGAGCCTCATTCACTGGGTACATTGGTTGTTCCGAAGTGGGGGTGGTACCTGCAAAAGAGACTCCAATGCTAAAGTTAGTATTTGTGGGTGTATGGGTCTCGTATATGTAGTGCACGTACCTTAGTGTGAATTACGGTTTATCTGGGCCTGAGGTCAGTTGTGGCACGTTCAGATGGTGGGCCTTTATTTTGGCCGATGTCATGTGGCGTATATCTGATGTCAATCCGCGCTTTAGTACCGAGCTCAAGCTCGGCTTCGCGGTACGGATAGTACACTAGCCCCCCGAGCTCCGAAGGCCACGGGTCGAGGAGTTAGTGCCGAGTTCAGTGAAGGGTCGCGACTCTTCGTTTATGCTTCTTTGGAGAGACGCCATGTGTCATAAGTGCCACCTCGTTTCCCGAAACGGATGAGTGGCGCGTTAGTGGGTGGTGACAGTTTACAATGATGGGATGTACCCGTCATTATGGGCCTCATTTAATGCCCTGTCCGTTTTGTCGTTTTGTGCCTTCGTGTCATTTTCGGTTTTGTTTAAAACATTTGCCTCTCTCCCCCTTCGCACACTTTTTCATTTTAGCTTCCTCTTTACGCTTCGTCCCATCTCTGATCTCTACACCTTTCTCGTTTTCGTTTTATCTCACCGCCGGCGTTTCCGCAATCAAAGTCGTCGTTCTTCGCCATTATCTCTGTTTTTGTCAAAGGAGTACTAGGTACTTCTTCTTTACCGTTTCTATGTGCTCTTTCTGTAAATGTGATGTGGAAATCGCATAGACTCTATAAGTCGTCCATCTCCAAGCTCATCCAGGTTGAGCCTTGCCAACCCGGTGAGCGTGTGTATATGGCAGGTACTCCGAGTACCCCCTTCTTCTATATGTACCAGTGTTTTTTCAGAGATCTCGGTGTGTGTTTACCCTTTAGACAATTTGAGTGTGACTTTCTGAACTTTGTCAATGTGGCCCCCTGCCAACTGCACCCCAATAGTTGGGGTTTTTTTAGGACTTTTCAAGTTTTGTGCTCAGCCTTGGAGACAGGGGTGTCTCTAAGTGAGAGTAAGGCTGGGGGGTTGTTCCAACTTTATTCCCAGTCGTATAAGAGCTTCAAGAAGGAGTTTTTTCGAGTTCGGCCTACTAAGGCCGACCCGCTGGTCGACAAAGTCTTCCACTTCAGAGGTCTGGCGAGGTTTCCCCTCTTCTGGCAACAGAATCTGATCAAATTTAATGGGTCGAGCAGCCTTCAACTGTCAAATTTCGATACTACTACCATCGCCGACTTGGCCGCGCTTCCTCGTCCCTTAGACTACAAGCTCGTCCTCTCGCTTGCTAACTTGGCGAATAAGGAGAAGGGTTTGTAAAGTGAGTATCTCGTCGTTCTGAGTTATTAGATTCTCTGTCTTTGTTCTCCTTCTTATGTGTTGGGCTCTTTGCGTTTGCAGGTCTAATGGATAGTACAATTTTATCCTCCTGAAAAGTTTTTGGCCGAGGGGTTATAAACATTTAACCCTGGCAATATTTTGGTCGTGAACTATTAATATGTACAACTTTAGCTTTCAAATTTGGCCAAGGGCTATTTAATATATAAAGCTTATCTATACGGTTTTTATGTCGTGGATTTTTAAGAGTTTCATAGTCGAAGAGTCCTTAATATATTCAAAAGGTTTTGTCTGAAGATTTTTTGTCGAAGTGTCGAGATATAATGGCCTCGAAAATTTTGATTAAGGATTTGAAACCGATGGGCTTTTAAAATAATTGTACTAGGCCTAGGGGTTTTACAAACTAATTGGTCGAGAGGTCTTTTCAAGATAAAGGCCTTAGGCCGAGGGGTTTTTTATTTACTCGTTCGACCGTGTGTCATCGATTGAGAGTCTTGAGTCATTTTTTCGCGCTCGACCGAGTAGGTTCTCGACTGAGGTCTTGAGTTATTTTTCACGCTCGGTCGAGGTCTTGCGTTGCTTATCAGGCTCGATCAAGTGTGTCTTCGGCCGAGATCTTGAGTGTTTTTTATGCTCGACCAAGTAGGTTCTCGGTTAAGGTCTTGAGTTGTTTTTCATGCTCGACCGAGCATGTCCTCAGTCGAGGCCTTGCGTTGTTTCTCAAGCTCGACCGAGTGGATCCTCGGCCGAGGGTCTTGAGTTGTTTTTCACCCTCTACCGAGTGTGTCCTCGTCCAAGGCCTTGCGTTGTTTCTCAAGCTCGACCGAGTGTGTCCTCGGCCGAGGTCTTGAGTTGTTTTTCACGCTCGACCGATTGGGCTCATAGCCGATGTCTTGAGTTGTTTTTCATGCTCGACCGAGTGTTCCTCGGCCGAGGCCTT